CCCCCTCCCTGACCCCGCCTGCCAAAACGGTGTGTGCGCACCTGCCCAGGGCCTGCGCCAGGGGCACGCGGGGGACAGCAGTGACTGCTGACCTGAGGCGGCAGGTGCGACAAGCCCTGGCAGAACGGGCACTACCCCAGCTCAGCCAGCAGAGGGATCCCACTTCCTCGGGACCACCTCGCTCTTCTGCTCAGGACAGGTGCCGGATGCGGTGCTGCTAGACGTGGCCACAAGGGGGCGGCACTGCCATGACCCCGGCTCAAGGTCAGGTCCTGAGCTGCACAGAGGAGCTCTTGCGGTCAGGCTGCAGAGAGGATCCAGGTGGAAGGCAAAGCCTGTCCTACCTCGGGGCCAGTGGGCGTGGCCTGGGATCCCCAGAGGATCCCACAGGTGTGTCTGCAGCCTCTGTGTGTGGAGCTGGGGCACACTTACCTCTTGGTGTGTGTGTGTGTGTGTGTGTGTGTGTAAGTGCCCGAAGGCACACAGCTGCGTTTCTCCCTGAGCGTGTGGAGGCTTCCGTATCTGCCTGTGTCCCCCCTTCTGTTCGGATGGTCCTTCTTCTGCTGGTGTCTGGGGGAGCATTGGCGATGCTTAGAGCTGCAGACCAAGGGCTCCCAGCATTCCCTGGGTGATTTCCCTGGTTTGTTTTACAAGTCAGTTAGTGGGAAAGGGCACTGAAATCGTTGCCAGTCCTCAGGTTTTGATTTTCTGGTTGCTGTTTGGAGAACTTATCAAAGTTAGTGGTCGCAGCCCTCCTGTTTGCTGGCGTTGGCTGCTCCCTCCTGGACAAGCGCCTGGTTGGGCATCCCCCAAGCGTGCCAGGCTCAGTCACAGCCGTAGGTGGGAGAAGTAAATCTGCGAGAGAAACCTGGCATCTCCATCCATCTGATGATATTTCCAGAACACCTATTATGTGGCGCTGTGTTATGGGGTACAAAAATAGAATTTCTGCAACAACAAAATTGTGGCCGATGCTATGGAGGGAAAGCAAAGTACTACGAGGAGGGACTGGGGTCTGGGAAGGAGGCTGCTGGTTTAGGTGGGGTGGGCTGGGAAGGCGGTTCTGAGGGTGCGCTGGCTGTATCTCCAGCCATGTGGCCACAGTTGTGAGCAGCTGTTAGGCCGGGGAGGGGATGCCTGCGGGCAGTTCCGTAATGGCCATTGGAATCCTAGTTAGGAGATTCATTAATATAGGGTGAAAAGAATCCATTGGCCTGAGGCTCAGGAGATGCAGGGCCCAGCCCTGACCTGCTCCTGACTTGTTTTTGTGGAAGTCACACACAATTGAGGTCTTCACGTGTTTCCGATGGAGGGAATACCATGCCCCTCCTGCACACAGCGTTGTTGTAGGGCTCAAATGAGGTCATGGGTGTGAGATCGCTTTCAGTCACTCAGTGCCAAGCGGTGTGAGGTCATTAAGCCAGTTTCGGGGGATGGATGAGGGTGATCTGCTCTAATAACCCAGGGGGGTGACAGGCAAAGCTGCGAGAGAAAAGCCACTTGTCAGTGTTGGGGTCGGGGAACGGGAGCAGGAATACCTGGACTCCGCTTTAGCGGAGGTGGGGGAGGGGGAGGTGGGGGAGGGGCTATTTGTCCCATTTGCTTTCTCTGCCTGGAAGGGCAGATACTGGATCCTGCAGTTCTTCGAGGAAGAAGACACAAAAGGAAGGGGACCCCTCTTGTCTAGCAGCCCCACCTGTTAGAGAAGAAAGGCAGGCACAGGGGCGCCTGGGTGGCTTGGTCGGTTAAGCATCCCACTCTTGGTTTCGGCTCAGGTCCTGATCTTGGGATAGTGGGATCAAGCCCTGCATCATCGTCTCGGGCTTAGCACTCAGCATGGAGTTTGCTTGAGGCTTTCTCTCCCTCTGCCTCTACCCCACCCCTCGCGCGTGCTCTCTCTCTCTCTGAAATAAATAAATAAATCTTAAAAAAACAAAAAACAAATAACAAAAGGCAGGCACAGGGGCACTGGGCAAGTGATGGCTGAACGGAGAGAAGTGACACAGCTCACCGGAGCTGCAAGCAGAGGCCTTGCAGACAGGGAAGAACTGACGAGGCGCCGAGCCCACCAGGCTGCCTTGGAGCCTTGGGTCACATACTTCAGACCTTGCACATGCCTCACATCTATCCGTGTGCACACAGACACACAGTCCTTCCTTCCTTATCCTCAGATAAATGTGCACCAACTCAAACACACCACAGTCAGCCCAGTGCACTCCTTTATAGAGGCTTGCGGTCTTGGCTTGGGTCTGAGCCCTCTGAGCTATGGGACCTGGGGCCAGTTCACCTTTCTGAACTCTCATTTTCTCCTCTATAAAATGGAAATAATAAGGCCTAGATCAGTGTGTTGTTGGAATCCAGTGGAGGGTGTAGGGAGAGCTGCCACGGGGACACATTTGAGCAAATCCAGCTTCTTTCCCAAGGCTCCAGCCCCACAACATTGGGCCATCAATGAAACACAAAAGCCCAGGAAGAGTTCAGAGGCATCTTTGCAGTCTGCTGGCCTCCCCAGCCCCTCGCATCAAGTGGCATTGGGCCCAGAAAAAAGGCTACCCGTTTCCTGAGCTAGGCATTTCTGGGGGTGGGGGGCAAGGGAGAGGTAGCCCCAGAATAACTCTGCATCCTGTTGTCCCAGGGTCCTGCCCAGCATCAGCAGTATTGTCCAAGAAAAGCAGGAGCTGAGTCCACCAAGCCCTAATCTATCCCCTGATTCTGGGAGAGCAGGGCCTTTCCAGAAAATGGAAAAATGGGATCAATTTTTTCCCTCAAGTTGCATCCATCCATCCATCCATCCATCCATCCATCCATCCATCCATCCAATAAACATCAAGTGCCTACTGAGCCAGCACTGTATTAAATGTTGAAGGCAGAAACAAAGAATTAGGAAATATGTCCCCTACCTTTTAGATATTTCTGGTCTAGGAAACAATTATGCTGCAGTAGAACAAGAGTTAGATGCTCAGGAAGCAGGTTCCATGCCAGGCTCTCTAAAGGCATGCATGGGCTTAGATGAAGGTGGTGAGGAGACCATTTTATGGGGTTCACGGTTCTCACCGCAGCAAGATAACTGAGTCATTTAACCGTATTCCATCTTGTCTCTGGGCCCTTCCCAGTTTGGAAACCGTCTTAGGTAGGCTTTCCAGGTAATTTAGGGATTCCTACCTTTTGCAAAGACAGGCGTCTCCGGCCTCCAGGAGTTTACTAATTGGTTTGAATACCCACTAGGGGTTGGAAGTTGCAGGGGTGAGGGGAGACTTGACGAAGGTGGGGCTCAAAGTTAAAAGGAGTCCAGGACCAACAAGGCAGCTATTCTCCTACAAGGTGAAGGAGAGGAGGCAGGACTGTTTGTCCATGTGTAACCCCAGGTCTTTGTGGAAAGCCCGACACACTGTAGGCATGAAATATAATTTTTGAATGAATGAATGAGCCGGGAAATTTCCCCTCTGCCTAGTCTGATTCTCTTTCTTCTCACTCCCCTTCATGGGGAGGTTGGGTGTTTTGTTCCAGAAAGGCTGCCGCTGCTGTTCTGTATCTTGTGGACTTTGGTGTCCCCGCTGCACTAAGCTCTATGGCTGACCCGTGGTGGACCCAACTTGCAGGGACAGATGCAGCAATGCAGGTCACATCATCCCAGCTGCGGGCAGGGGTAACTGCAGCGTGAATTCTGGTTGGGGCCATGCACGGCTCTGCCAGGGCTGACCCTCCGTCTGCCTTCTGGTTTCACAGAGGCAAGGAGTCTGAGAACTGAGACTCACTCGGGCTTTCTCACGCTGGGGAACCCCATAGGAGATGCTGTGAGGGGCCTGCGAGCCACCCAGTGGGGCTGCTTGATGGAAAACTACAGACTGAGATTCTAACTTCACACCCCAGCCCTACTGGGAAGTTCTAAAATACGAAGGGGAAGCTCATGCAAAGGGAAATTTCCTTTTCTCCCCACAACTTCCCCCTCCCTCCACACCACCTGGGGCTGAGAAATTACCTTCATTGTCTTGAAAGAGGCACTGGCTGTTCTGAATGAAGGACCTCGGGACAGTCCTGCACCCAGCACCATGAGGGCGTGTGCAGGACTAGTGAGGGGCACCCCACTCTGCATAAGCTCACTGGGCACATAGCAGAGGGCCACACACGTTCATTCAACAAATACCAGTTCACCACTGATGGCGGCCAGGCAATCAGACAAGTCCCAGTTACGTGCTTTAGTGCTGAGAGGGCACCAGAGCATTATTATTGCTGCCTGGGACCGGACGCCACACCATCCCTGCCCCCACTTCCAGAGGACACACAGCAAACACCACTGACCCCCCCACCCCCCCGCTGAAGCATCTACAATCTCCTAAGCAATTTACCATATTGTCTCTAACTATAAAAAGTAGGTAGGTCTTGTTTTGTACCTTTTACAGATTGGAAAACTGAGGCTCAGATCCTTGCCTAGCTGACCTGACCAGTAGAACAGAGGAGGGGTTCAAACTCAGGTCTTGTCTGATTATAAACCTGTGTCCTTTCTAGATTAGGCTTCTTGAGGTATGCTCTGGGCACTTTCTCTAGGAAAATCCCAAGGCAAAGGGTAGTGGTTGTGAAGGTCCAGAGCCTTGCCTTGGAACCACAGAGGGCAGGTACTTGGTGGAAAACTCCAGCGCGTGATTCACCCTCCTCCCGAGCCCTCGTCAGTGAGGCCAACTCCCCTCCTGAGGTTCTCAGTTTCCAGCCCCAGGGGGTGGTGGCTCCTGTCCTACTGCTCTGGTAAGAAAAGGCTGCACCCTGCCTTGTACATCCTCGTCTCTTCCCTCGGAAGGAGCAGGTACTGGAGTGGCACGGTGAGGAGGGGGAAGGCGCGAGGGGCAAAAGGAGGGAGACGTGATCAGATGGAAGTCTGAGCTGGACTGGAGGGACAGAGCTCAGTGGGAGGGCTTGGGGGGGGGCTCCCACAGTGGGAGGGAGCTGGGGGTGGTGGACTGGGAACAGAGGACTTGGCTTCCTGAGGTTGGATGTTGTAATCCTGGTGCACAAACTTTTGGCTTCAGTCCCTCCTGTTGCTGTGGTATTTCTCTGTCCCTTCACTTCCCAATACACTGGTGTGCGTGAGCGCGCGCACACACACACACACACACAGAGCTGCTTTCTGTCTGGGAGTCCTGGGACAACTCGGATGGGATTCTGAGCTGGGAGGAACAGGAGAAGGAGCAAAGGTGGAGGCTGGTTCCCCTCTCAGGTCCCGGCTGTGTGGGCTTCCCCGCCACTGTCCCGGGGACCGGAGGCATGGAGCTGAGCTGACCACGGGAGCCGAGCTCGGGACTGAGGTGAGCAGGAAGCAGAGGACGGGCTGTGTCTTTGCAGTCCCTTAGAGGGTGCCTCAGAGGGGCTGGAGGGGTGAGTCCTGGGAGGCAAGGTTTTGTAGGATTGTGTGTGTCTGTGGTACAAAAGACTGGGGCTGAAGGTAAGTCTGATGTTGGGGCATCTTAGGACCAGGGGCATCACCCCGGCTCCCCCAAGCCACCCACAGCTTCTAAGTTGCTCAGGGACGAGCCTGGGAAAGACCCTAGGTGGGGGGCTGGCTCTAGGGAGTAGGTGAAGGAGGGGTGATCACCTGGATGAGGGAACGAGGGGAAGAAGCAGACAGTACCCAGGGAGATGGGAAGGAAGAGCAGACGGGACAAATCTTGGGCATCCCTCAAGACCCATGACCTGCAATTAGCCATGCAGATGAGGGGTTCCTGCCCTCCCCCATGGGTCAAGCAGCGCAAGCAGGGAGCCAAGCGTCTCCCAGAAGGAGGAAGCTGCCCCAGCTCAGGCTTTGGGGAGGCGTGAGCATGCTTGTGCCAGAGAAGGGCAACAAGGGAGTGGTGGGGAGGTGCAGGCGGCCAGCAGCCTAACCCGGCAGCCCCCAGGCTGTGAGGGACTAGCCGGAGTCAGGTTTTGGTGCCATGCACACAGGTATGTGTGTGCAAAGGGACGTGACAGGAATGGCACCAGTGTGTGTACAGAAAGGGGAACTGGTATGTGGGTGTGGGCTGCAGCAGGGCCTGGGGCATCCCGTGCCCCGCCGCGCCCCCCGCACCCCCCCCCCCGGGTCCGGGGCTGGGCCATTCCTGTGCTGGACTGGGAGGGTGATGGGGCCGAGCTGGGATCCCAGCAGCATGGCGGGAGCGGCATTTCGCCACCTGTCTGCTCCTCTGCTAGACCCTGACCAGACCTCCTCCTCCTAGCCCCATGCCCAGCTCCTGAAAACGGTTAATTTTGGACTTGCTAGCCTCTTGAAGATTTTCTTGGTGGGCTGCACTGAGCCCAGTGTGGATGTAGGTGTCTTGGCTTCTGGAGGGCACTGACGTGTGGTGAGCTCCAATGCATGACCCCGTATCCTGCTCCAGCTTAGCAGAGGTGGGAAGGGGGCGTTAGGGGCTGGAGAGGTGGCAGAGCTGAGACGGGGTTGATCTCGGGAAGGGGGAGATCTCTGGAAGTCATCTTGACTGTGGATAACACTGTTTATTCCTTGCAAGTGGGCTAGGGGTGGAAGGGCACAGTGGGGACGGGGTAAGGAGGGTAGGGGGGCATGCCGTCCTTTTGGCTTTGAAAAGGAGCTCCCACAGCAGAGCTCTGTACAGCCTGTGTTTATGCCTGACCTCCACCTCAACATTTCTTCCCTGAGTCTAACTTGAATACCACTTGCTGCACTGAAGGCCTGTTTCTTCTTGATTTACCATGGCTCGGGGCCAGCTTTCGTTTCCACATGCTCTTGCTTTCATTCTGCCATTCCGTTTTTTCACTCTAACCCATAAATTATGATCTTTCCAGTAACCCTTAAAAAAAATATGTTGTTGGGCGCCTGGGTGGCTCAGTTGGTTAAGTGACTGCCTTCGGCTCAGGTCATGATCCTGGAGTCCCGGGATCGAGTCCCGCTTCGGGCTCCCCGCTCGGCAGGGAGTCTGCTTCTCCCTCTGACCCTCCCCCCTCTCATGTGCTCTCTCTCATTCTCTCTCAAATAAATAAATAAAATCTTAAAAAAAAAATATGTTGCATCAGTATCAGCTCATCAGTGTGTGTTCTCTTCTTGTCTTCCCCATCCCGATACAAGCCAAACCCTGCACCCAAACTGGGCTCTGAGATTTGCTTCGCAGTCCTGCACTCTCCTCTGGTCTTCCCTTCGCTTATTCCTTGGCCCCACCAGGTCTCTCTTCCTTCCACTGTTGAGGACAGCTTGGCCCTGTCATAGCTGCTTCTGGTCTGAGAACAGGAAGGCTTGTCTCCTGTCCACCCCCTTGGAAACCTTTGTGCTTGGGCTCACCCTGAGCTGAGCTACACTATGGCTTGGCAAGCAAAGGCAAAAAATCTCTCCTTGTCTTTTATGGATCTTATTTTTATCCCCCACCCTCCCAGCACCCCTGTTGAATGGCTCATTCTCTCTTCCAGGGAGACTTAAAGCCCAGAGAGGAAGTGTGAGTTGCCTAAGTTCATACAGCAAGTTAGAGACTCCGCTCCATTGCTTATTGTATTGGTGAGTTCATTCAAATCATTTAAAAATAGTTTTACTGAATACTTGCAAGGTGTCAAGTCCTGTTCCTTCATCTCTCTGAGCTTCATTTCCTCATTGATAAAATGGACTTAATAGTAATACCTACTTTAAAGATTTTAATGAGGATGAAATTTAATAACGCATATGAAGAAGTGTAGGTTTTTGGCACAACAATTAGTCAAATGTTAACTTTTATTAATATTATTATTGGTTAGGTCTGGACTAGACCTTAGGTTTCCTGCCTGGTGTTTTTTCCGTTAATGTTTTTGAATTCATTCATTCATCCACTCATTTGTCTGATAACGATTCCGGGGCCACTCCTCAGGGTGCCCAAACCCCAATTCTGTAGCAACATCTACAGTTGGTTCAGGTAGCACCAACTCTTTCCCCCAGGGCCAAACTGCCCTGTTCTTCCAACCTGACACTCTGGTTCTCAAAGCCTCCCCCACTCCTAGGGTCTGATGGTCTCCTCTGAACCTGGAAGCCTTCTTCTCTCCCTTCCTTCCCTCCTCCTCCCTTACATCAGGGGCTGAAGACCTCTGATTTCCATTAGGCGCTTCTCTCTTCATCTTTCTTCCTGAGGTGAGCTTGCAGTGGAAACCTCTGAGTAGGTCCCAATACCAGAATCTAACCCCGACAGGCTTTCCCATTCCTGGGATAACCTGTCCTCCAAGTCACCTTCAAAAATTTCCATAACCTCAAATGGCTCCTGCCACACCTTTTTAACCGACTTGGGCTTGGGCTGTTGCCTGGGTTAAAAGGACCAACAAATAAACACAGACACTTAGTAAAAAGAATCCCTTGTGTTTCTTTAGAGCCTTGGAGGGGCATGGAGCACTTGGTAGCTTAGGGTCACTTTGATTTCCCCAGCGCCCCCCGGAGGTGAGGGGTGCTGGGTGGGTGCTTCCCTCTGGGGCCAGATCACCTCCTCCTGGCAGCTCCTCGGGAGCCAAGGTGGAGGTGGCCTCAGGGTGGCTGTGTGGGGGGAGGGGGGGAAGGCAAACAAGGACTCCAGGTACAACACCACAGTGCCGCAGTTTATCTCCTGGAGGTTGAAAATGGACAGCGATAGGGACAGAGTAGACCAAGAGAGACCACGTCATTTTTCTGGCAGTCCAGTGAGCTTTGGGCTCTTTAGGAGAACAGGAAGTCAGGAAGGGCAGTGACCTGCTGTCACGCTCAGCCACGTCTGGGTCTCCCTTGAGGAGACCACCACCCCAGTGAGAATCGCTCTGGGATCGACCGCCAGGACCCCTCCTTGCTTGTTCTCAGGGCAGAGGTACAACGGAGAAGGAAGAAGAACCAGGTTTCCCTCGAAGGCCTATACTTGGTCCTGGCACCAATCCCGGGTCTCATCTGGCCTTGTTCAGAGGCCCCACCTTCTCCTTCCCTTCCAATCAGACGCCCAGAGCTAGCTGGCTCCCATGTTTACCCTGAGTTGATCGATTGCCTGGCATAGGAATGAGCACACAACCAGCTAGCAGAAGACCATGCAGTCACCTGGGCCACACCTGCCCTTTGACCTCCTGTCACCCCTGGCAGGCTTTGATCCCTTCTGGCTTGGAGGCTGGAGGCTGGGCGGGTGCCACTCACCCGACACTGTGGAGCTGGGCAGACGGGCGAGCGGGGACGGTGGCTGGCTGTAAATATCAGAAGGGACTCGGAGGATGCCTGGGTGGCTCAATCGTTAGGCGTCTGCCTTCGGCTAAGGTCATGATCTCAGGGTCCTGGGATCGAGCCCCGCATCGGGCTCCCTGCTCAGCGGGGAGTCTGCTTTTCCCTCTCCCCCTGCCCCTCTACCCTGACTTGTGCTCTTTCTCTCTCTGTCTCTCAAATAAATAAATAAAATCTTAAAAAAAATAAAAAAATAAAAAAAGAAGGGACTCGGAATGAAAGACCCCCAAGCCTTTTCCTCCCAGTCTACTCCTATATGGTCGTAAGCAAGCCACTTCACCGGTCAAGGCCTGGATGTCCCCCTCTGCAAAATGGGCAAACGAAGATTGGCTCCCTATTTGTTCTCCAAGTCATGAGAGCAAAGTGTAACTTTCGGTGTAAAAGTCATGGAGAGTTTGGGAAGAAAATCAGCAGCCCAAGATATTAAACCATATTCCAACAATGGGAAATGTTACCGCAATATTCCAACAATAATCAAAGCCAAGAGGAAGAAAACAGGGGTGGAAGGCATGCTTCGGGGTGGTACGGCTCACCCCTTCTTGTCACACCAGGCTCACCATCCTGCCCTCTCCCAGCTCCGCGGCCTCCCGGTCCATCACGTCGCCATGGACAGAAAAGTGGCAGTCCCCGAGGACGGGCCTCCCGTGGTCTCCTGGCTCCCTGAGGAGGGAGAGAAGTTGGAACAGGAAGGCGAGGACCAGGTGAAGGATCGGGGCCAATGGACCAACAAGATGGAGTTTGTGCTGTCAGTGGCCGGGGAGATCATTGGGCTGGGGAATGTCTGGAGGTTTCCCTATCTCTGCTACAAAAATGGAGGTGGTGAGTTCATTTTGAGGTAGGCGTGGTGGGGAGAGCTGTGCCTTGACCGCAGGCAGGGCTTACCTGGGCGCCTCCTGCCTGGCGATGTGGTAAAATGGAAGGAGGCTGGCATGGAGCTGGAGGGCCCGGGGGTTCTCAGGGTCCTCCTCTGTGAAATAGGGATGATGCCTCCCAGGGCCATGGTGAAGGGTAATGGAGGCAATGGGTAGGACCAAGGAATCTGAGTGTGTAACAAGATAGGATATACTAGTCTTTCATGATTCTGTATAATGCTGGTTGCTGATAGGAGTCATTCATTCAGCTAGTATTTTACTGTGGGCCTCTCCTGGGCTAGGCATTGTTCTAGATACAGCACAGAACACATTCTGTGTGTTATATGTATTCTAGCGCAGGGTGGCAGATTACAGACAAAGAAGTAAGATGCATGGGATGTTGATGGTGAGGAGTGGAATGGTGAGAAGCCAAGCAGGGATGAGGGGTAGGGAATGCTGGGTCGTTGGAGATGTAGGGGAGGGGGGAAGGGTTGAAAAGGTGAAGTAAGGTGCCCAGGAAAGCTTGTGCTGAGGAGGTGACATTTGCACCAAGACTTGAAGGAGGTAAAGGAGTGAGTCTTACAGATGGAGATCAGGTGAAGACCATTCCAAACGGAGGGGAAAGCAAGTGCAAAGTCCTGGGGTGAAAGTGCACCTGGCCTGTTTGAAGAACAGTGGGGCAGTGACAGATGTGGAGAAGAGTAGAAGAGATCAGAGAGGTCACAGGGCTCACATCTAATAGGCTCTGCTCTGAGATGGGAACGGTTGAAGAATTTGAGCAGAGAAATATGATCTTGTCTCTGATTTTTTTTTTAAAAGATTTTATTTATTTATTTGAGAGAGAGAGAATGAGAGAGAGAACACATGAGAGGGGATAGGGTCAGAGGATGAAGCAGACCCCCCGCCGAGCAGGGAGCCCGATGCGGGACTCGATCCCGGGACTCCAGGATCATGACCTGAGCCGAAGGCAGTCGCTCAACCGACTGAGCCACTCAGGCGCCCGTCTCTGATTTTTTTTTTAATTAAAGCAACATAATTTTATTATTTTTCAGCACTGGTAGTAAAAATGAGCAGGGGTATGGTGGGAAGGGGCCAGATTAATCTTTTTATGTGTACAATTAGAGGCTTTTAGTATATTCATAGAATTGTGCAACCATCGCCACAACCGATTTTAGAACATTTTCATCATTCCAGAAGGAAGGCCTGAAGCCATTAGCAGTCACTCCCTATTCCCTCTTGCTGCCAGCCCTTGGCAACCACTAATCTACTTTCTGTGGCTATGGGTTTACCTATTTGGAATTTTCATACAAATGGAAGTATTCATTTATATGAATTTATTTGTGACTGGACAGATTCATCTTTGCCTTTTGAAAATACCTTTATTCTTCTTGTGGAAATTGTACACATTTATTGTGAAATCTGAAACATTCCAGAAAGGTAAAAAGAAGAAACATTCCTATTTAAAGATAATTATTGTTTAGAAAACCCTTATAGGGACGCCTGGATGGCTCAGTCGGTTAAGCGTCTGCCTTCGGCTCAGGTCATGATCCCAGGGTCCTGGGATCGAGCCCCACGTCGGGCTCCCTGCTCAGGGGGGAGCCTGCTTCTCCCTCTGCCTGCCGCTGCCCCTGCTTGTGCTTTCTCTCTTTCCCTCCCTCCCTCTCTCTGTCTCTTTCTCTAATAAATAAAATCTTTAAAAAAAATAGAAAACCCTTATAACACTATTCATATTTAATTTTTAAAAAAGATTTATTTATTTATTTTGGAGATGGGGGGGAGCAGCCAAGGGGGAGGAGAATCTCAAGCAGACTCCCCGCTGAGCATAGAGCCTGACATGGGGCTCAGATCCCATGACCAGGGGATCATGACCTGAGCCAAAATCAAGAGTCAGATGCTTAATCGACTGAGCCCCCCAGGCACCCCCATTATTTACTTTGGCAGGTGTTTACTGAGCATCTACCCGGTATCTTGTTTTGTGTTTCCAACCTTATAGTATTATTACCAACTACTTGAACTAATGGTTCCAAGAAATAGAAATGGGGTTTCCTGGCAGGTGAGGGCTATGGAGCGAGGCTGGGGAGTGGGGGGTGAATGCTGGCCAGAGATTAGGGAAGGCGGGGAGAAGTGGTAGGGGCGGCGACTTGTTTCTTTGCCCCAGGCCAGTTTCACGGACACACAGGGCGTTCGTGCTCCAGCTGAAGATGATCCAGGCTGAGCACTCATTTCATAGAGCGCCCAGAGGTTCCTAGGGATGTTTAGCGACTTGCCCAAGATCATAGAAGTGGTTGGGAGCTGCGGGCCTGGGCACCTGGTTCACTGGCTTGCACATCACTTGCCCTGCCATCTGAAAAGGAGGGAGAAGGAGGGTCCAGGGGACAGGTTTTCTGGTTTGGGTGCCCACACCTCCTTGTCCTGCCTGGTGGCTGCACTGTGGCCGTGGCCTCAGTCCTGGCTGTGGGGCAGCATGGGGACACAAGCGCCTAGGACAGTGTGCAGGGACACCGCGCTGAGCCTGGGTCGTCTGTGAAGAGGCAGTGCTGGATCGCAGTTATTGGGCAGAGTCTGTGTTCTCGCATTAGCTCTGTCCCAACCTAAGTACCCGGGGAGGACACCCACCCTGCCACCCCTCTATCCTATGTCCCTCATCCTCCCCTACATGAGGGGTGGAGCAAGGTCAGGGGTCCCAATCTCAGGTCACTGGTCTTTGGGGGTCCAGGAAAGTAGGAATGTAGGTTTCCTTGTTTCAGAAACTTAATAATGGATCTACGTGGGAACATGACTTCACCGACTAACTCAAATGTCACCTTTTTGCTTTAGGCTAGAATTGTACTAACTCACTATGATGATAGGGTTTATCTTGAGCTGACCATAACTCTTTAGTTAGCAGTTAGGATGTGAGGGCGATCTGGCTGCGACATCTGGCACCCCGTTGATTGCCAGGGTTGATGCGGTTGAGGTGGTTCTGTGATCTGGCTGGCTAGGCAGGTGTCCCCTTCTTCCCACACCGCTCCACGGGCGCCCTGCCCGAAGCTGCGCGCTTGGTCCAAGAGGACGACCTTCCCTGATAGGGGAGGACTGTTCTTCCATCAAGGGTATACGAGTAGCCGCACTCCCCTGCTAGGACCCCCAAACAAGCTCTCCAGGTCCATTTGTAGGAGAACGTAGGGTAATCAAGCTTCTGAGACTCCAGACACGTCCAAATGAGGCACTGCAGGTGGCAGTCTGCCTTGCTTTAAAAAAAATAAATAAATAAGAAAAAAAGCAGTTAAATATAGTGTTTACTGATATATTAATCAATTCATAATGAATTAATAATTAGTTAACCAACGGTTCCGTAGAGAAAAATCTTTCAAGAGGGATGAAAAAATAGTGTTATTGGTGTAATAATATCTTTGGTTACAAAAAAAAAACCCAGGGAGTTGCTAAACTAGATCATCCTCAAAAAATGGCTCACCCCAAAAGAGAATTTTATGAATTCTGAGTTTCCAGATTGCTAGTGGTTCCGGAGTAAGTGCTTGGCAGAGCTAATAAGGCATACCTTAGAGCAAAGGGAGAGAGACTATAAATGCGTCCCAAGTCACCCTGTCCTCACAGATCCCTGGGGGGCCTCATCCGGCTGCTCGTGCCCAGAGCATGGGCAGATGCTAAGGGAACTGTGGGCCAGGTCCATCTCCCCGAGTGAGGATTCTCACTCCGAGGGGAGGATGTTTGCAGTGATAGTATGTTGAAAACCCAGGGAGAAAGCCAAGAACTGATGCCTGTAGGCGCTCCAGGACCAACCTCCTCCCACTGCCTGCTGTGGCCGGGGCCTAGCATTGACCCTCCAGGCCCGACTCAGCCTGAGGGTGGCCCAGCTCCAGGCCTCCTGAGCTCTCCCCGGTTTCTGTGGGGCAGAAGTCTATGTGCCAAGGGTAGGGCTGAGGCCGTCCCCTTCAGGAGAGGGAAGGGCTTCCGCGCACAGCCAGCAGGAAGGGGCCCATGGGTCACATGCCACCACAGACTTCCTGTAAAGCGCCCTCTGGGAGAGCCCCTCAGCCTCACCCCTGTAACCACCTAAGCCGCGTGAACCGGCGTCAGTGGTGTTACTCAGGATGTGCGGGCAAAGCTAGAGTTAAAAAGGACTTCAGGACTTGGAGAATTACCAGTTGCTGTGGCTCCGGAGGGCCCAGAAGACTCACAGATCCTTCTCCTTCACTCTCACATATTGCTACTGGCGGTGCAGATGGGTAGAAGAGGCTGGGAGGGCGATTCAGAAATGCATGTCAAAGTCCTTAAAAAACTGTTCAAGCTCCAAGGGTGGAAGCAACCCAAATGTCCATCAATGGACAAATGCATAAACAAAATGTGATATATACACATGAGGGAATACTATTCAGCCTGAAAACAGCATGGATAAACCTTGAGGACATGAAGCTAGGTGAAATAAGCCAGACACCAAAAACATAAGTACTGCATGATTCCTCTTATATAGGGTGTCTAGAAAAACAATTCATAGACAAAAAGTAGAATGGTGGTTACCAGGGGCCAGGGAGAGGCAGGGAATAGGGAGTTAGTGTTTAATGGCTACAGAGTTTCAGATTCGGATGGCTGAGAAGGTTCTGGAAATCGATGGTGGTGATGGTTGGATAACAGAGTGAAAGTACTTAATGCCACTGAACCTTACACTTAAAAATGGTTAAAAAGTAAAATTTATGTTATATATATTTTATTGCAAAAAAAAAGTACATACACTCTGACCTACCAATTTGTCCACTGGAAATTTATACTGAGGAGACAGTTAGCTAAGTGCACAAGGATGTGGACAATGGATCGCAGTGGGGTGTCTAATGAAACAACCAAAGATACCTGGCCAGTGGAGGTATCGATGAAATGAACTAAGATACATGCTTACGGTGGAATATGATACGGGCATTAAAATGATGCCTTCTATATTTATTGATATAATAGGTTCATGATAGGTTTTTAAATGGTAGTCAAGGAATATATAGTAGGTTCTCATTTTTTGCCAAATATATATGTATATATGTGCGCGTGTGTGTGTGTTTATAAGAAAATTGGAAGGCTATACAATATTTTTTTTCCTTTTTCCTCCTTTGTACTTTCTATTTTTCCTGCAAAGTAATGTGGATTACTTGGGTAAGAGCACAGACTCAGGTTCGGACCACTTGGCGTGATGCCTCAGTCTCTTCATCTGTAAAATGGGGACAACAGTGGTACCTGCCCCATGGGAGGTGGTTCTGTGAGGATTCTGATGTTGGTGGAGCATTTAGAAGAATGCCTTACACACAGTAAGCACAACATAAGTGCTAAGTGTTATTTTGATGCAGTAAACAATAATCTGCTCACCCATCTGTTTTTTTTTTTTTTCCATCCTCAGGTATATGTCTCAGTGACTGAAGTGGGCACCAGCGGCTTAGCATTATCTTTAAGTTCCCCACTTTGCTGGATGCTTTTTTGGCCTGGCCTCCTGTGGGGGCTGTAGGTCAGCACCTAATCACATAACTGCTGAAACCCCAGTGCCCGAGAATCTGCCTGAGCAGAGAAACGGCCTTCTCTGCTGGGACCCCAGTTTGGATCAGAGCCTGGTGGAGGGAAAAAAACATCTGAAAATTATTAGAGGAAAAGCAATTTTTCCGAGGTGTTTTTGTTTGGTTTTCTCTAAAATGTAACACACTTGATAATTTAATAAGCATATCAAATTATACAGAACACATGTTTTGGTTCCAAAAATAATAAATGGACTAAGTTTGTGAAGCACACTGGGAAAATAAATAGTGCATCTATTAGGATTTCCACCTAAATGTGCACTCCCTTTTCTTCAAAGGTCTTTCCTATCCTGAATGGGGTTCAGACTGGAAAATTTCTGCCTGCCCTGTTCGCAGACAGGAGGAAGCCGACGTGGGCCCCTGGGAGGGTGGGGAGGGAGATCAAGGATGCCAAGCAGTGGGACGCTGGTCTCCCAGATGGGTCGAGGACTCAGCCCCTGCCCCCTCTTGTTCCACAGGAGCCTTCTTCATCCCCTACTTCATCTTCTTCTTCACCTGCGGCATCCCAGTGTTCTTCCTGGAGGTGGCGCTGGGCCAGTACACCAGCCAAGGCAGCGTGACAGCCTGGAGGAAGATCTGTCCCCTTCTCCAGGGTGAGTGTTCCCCTTTGTCCTCCTACCAGGGCCACCAAGCGCCTCCATCCCTCCATCGCTCCTCCCCTTTCCTTCCCTGCCACCACCTTCTTCTTCATTACTCTCATCCTGTGCGAAGTGCTGTGGGGGACACAGGAAGAGTTATCAGACTTTGGGGGGCCCAAAGCTTATAGATCCTGGGGAGGAAGTCACGTCTCAAGAAAGACAATACAAAATCACCAGTGCAAAATCAGATGCAGAGCTTGGAAGGAGTTTTTGCAAGTGAGGAATCCTGGAGCTTCCTCTTCATCAGCTTCCTGGAATGCTGTTCTGGTGTACATGGCGCGGCCCCAGACGTGCCGCCGAGGTACATAACCATCGCGATGATGACGATGGCTAACGTCCCCTGAGCCCGGCTATGTGTTAGGGCTCCGGCAAGCACTTGACATGCATTTCCTCATTGGATCCTCCACATGAGAAAATGAGATCATTTACTGAGGATTTGAACCCAGGTCTCCCTGAGCTGAAAATTCATGCTTTTTCCCATGTTAGGAATTAGGTTAGGGATTAGGTTAGGGACAGCTCCTGTTCTCTCTATGGACTTGCTAGTATTAATGTGAGCAGCTTGGGGTGTCCTTCCCCACCCCATCTTTAGCTGATTGGGCCAGTCCCCTTGGGGGGACTCCCCAGCCCTTGTCTCTGAGAGGTTCCTTGCCTATGGGAAATGAGGAGAGGACTCTTTCCCTCACGTCAGTCTGGAGGCAGCCCCAGGGACTAGGCTATCTGGGGTTACAGCCTACTCAGCTGGGCTGTAGCCACCATGCTCAGGTGGGCATGGGGGGAAAACCTGGCTCCTGAGCAGGCTGGGAACCCGACCACCAATTGGGGGTTTGGTTGCGGGGACCAGGCTCATCTGGTACTCATTCCTCTTGGGGCACCCATGGGACCCCTGGAGAGCAGCAGTGAGGGGCTGGGGAGGGGCGAAGCTTGGCCCACATACGTTTCTACTTAGGAGTGCTGGGTCCTGCTGGGCGACTGTGGCCTCAGCCAGAGCAGTGTCTCCGTGTTCTGCTCTGGAGCCCAGCAGTCGCCTAATGTCCCACCCAGTTGCGTGCTATCCCTAGGACCAAGCGAGCTCCTGGGTGGCAAAAGGCGGGGCTGGCCTCTCTGGCAGGTATCTACTAACTCTCCAAGGCAGTCACCACAGATCGGGTGAGCAAACCAAGCATTGGATGGGGGTTGGGGGGAGGGATTACTGCTCCTTCCCTCTTGGCCAAGTTGAAGAGACAGAGACTCCAAGGCCTGGAGTCTCAGGGTGTGTGCCCCGATGTTGGTGGGAGGGTCCAGGCTGCCTGCTACCTGCCCTCCACCGGCCTGATGGCACCCACCCCGCAGTTCACCCTCCCAGCACACGGAGGCCACACCCTGTGCTCACCCACCCTCCCTCCCTCCTCAGTTTACACACAGGCACAAGCTTCCTCCCCTGAGATCATCCCTACCCTCAGAGATGGGGCACCCCCTCCTCCCAGCCTGGCTCCCCGCCTCCTCCCGGGTCCGGTCGGGTGTTTACAGGCGGTGGGAGCACAGCGCGTTCCGGCGGCGAGTGGCCGCACAGTGGCCGCTTGTTTGGGTGTGTGGGTGTCTGTGTGCGCGCTCCGAACAGCCCGGCCGCCCGGCTCCCCGGGGACCCTCCGCGCCATCAGCAGCCCTGGCCGCCGCTCCTCCCGAGGCCCCAGCCCACGGTCGCTTTAGGGCGCCCCTGCCCCCCACGCCTGCATGATTTGCGGAGACCCAAACGCAGGAAAACACGGGGGCGGGGGGCGGGGGGTGCTCCGGTCGAGTTGGCCAGGCCCGCTGGAACAGACAATCAGGGTGGGCTCCCCGGCCAAGGGCTGGTTTTGTGGACAGTCGGCATTGATTTTCCGACCTGCCTCGGGGCTGTGCTTCCTTAAGTCATCCTGGAGCCCCGGCTTCCCGGGCCGCGGGCACCTCCCCAGGACGCGGAGCGACTGGGACCTGGGACAGGGCGCGGCGCCCACTCCTCCGCCTGCTTTCACACCTCGGGACTAACGGCCGCCCTGGCAACGTGCTACTTTTAAAATGACTGTGGAAAAGATCCCACGTTTGCAGGAGCAGGCGGGCCGGGGAGGGGGGAGGCGAGGGGAGGGGGGACTGCGCCTGCCCTTGCTCCCTCCCAGCCCCACGGCCAGCCTCCAGACTGCTCCCCTGCGTCCGACCTGGGCGCACAGGTCCCGCCTCGGCTGACACTCTTGCCCCTCACTGGGCGGTGAGCTGGCATTTTGAGACCCACTCAGGCTCCAGGGTTCTCGACAACCAGCGACCTCTTCTTTTTTTTTCTTTGCTGGTTTCTTTTGGTTTTTGCTCTTATCCTGAGACTGATTCTTACCAAGACTTCCCTACTTACTCCTTTGTTCTTCTTGCCCTTTTTCATTTTACAAGTAATGTGTGATTGTCGTAGAAAAACTGGAGAATGCAGATGGACAAAAGGGAAAAAAAAACCTTTAAAAAGTGAACCGAAATCCTATCACCTAGAGAACCACAGGTAGCTTTTGGATGACAATCCTTCCAGAGTTTATCTCCTTCAAAAAAAAAAAAAAGATATGTCAAGTAAATTATGCATAATGAGAAAAAAATAAAAAAATAAAAAAAAGAAGATATACATTCAAATATATATATTGCAAAACTGGAAGAATGCAAACTGTGGTGATCTGTAACCTGTGTTTCTTAGAAAAATGTGCTGTCTGTGGCTTCTCGGGCCAATAAAGAAATCCTGGTGGTTGTCTTCGGGTGGCACCCAATCCCCTTCTAGCCGCGGCGGGAGGCTTCCGTGTGGCTCTGCTGGGCTAACTTGATCTCTTGGGTTCTCCTTGTTGCTCCCGCATGCCTCCCCTCTTCCCGTAGGCATTGGTCTGGCTTCTGTGGTTATCGAGTCCTATCTGAACATCTACTACATCATCATCCTGGCCTGGGCCCTCTTCTACCTGTTCAGCTCCTTCACCTCTGAGCTGCCCTGGACGACCTGTAGCAATAGCTGGAACACAGGTATCCATGGTTTCAACCCCTGGGCTGGGGCCTCTCCCTGGGGGAAACCCTTGCCTCAGAGCCGGGCTGTGCGGGCCCTGGTGCCGTCCTGCTGGCTGACCCTTCTGTGGGAATCTGGACTAGCCACCAGGAGAACCGAAAACCCCACCCGACTGTGAATGTTTTGTGCCACTGCGAGGGGTTATCATCACTCACTCCGTGCCGGGTGCCAGACATAGACGGCTGAGCACAAGCCCCGTGGCCCAGCGCTCTGTGAGCGTGCGGTCTACTGGTAGAAAGGGACAAATTAATCAAATAATTACAAATTGCTATGGGTGAACAAAACTGCCGAAACGGTACCACAGTGGGAAGAAAATCGCTGGCTGAGGGCTGAAGATTGAGGAGGAACCCACCATGTGAACAGCAGGCCATCGAGGGGGAAGAGCAGGCACGAGGACGCAGTCCATTTGTGTGTTGAGTGGAGAGAGTGGGCCGGTTCCAGGGGCGGAGGGATCTGAGCTCTGTGTCAGAGGTTGGTGGCGGGGTGGCCAGAGAAACTGCCAGATTCACTGAAACAAGAGCAGTAGGAGGAACATAGGGAGGGGGGCTGGTCCCATGAACCACCTGGCTGGTCAACTCCTGGAAAATGGGGGCTCCACAGGAAGTTCTTGGGACTGGGAATGATGGGGACTGCCAGGCTGTAAGGTCAGAGGGTCAGGGGGACTAGGGTGAAAGGGCATCTCTCCCCATCTGGTCCCTAGCTGATGCCCAGCCCCCCTTGTCCTCAACAGAGCATTGCATGGACTTTCTGAACCGCTCGGGAGCCCGCACAGCAACCCCCTCTGAGAACTTCACCTCACCTGTCATGGAATTCTGGGAGTAGGTGCTGGGCTTGGATGCCACGTGCCAGGGGCCCCAAGCAGGAAATTTGGATGTCTGAGGCCTGGGACTTGGAGTGCGAGTTTAAGCCTTTCTGTGCACGCTCTCCAGTGCTTACCCACCTCCCCCCACCTGGCACATCACTGGGACCTGGGGGAACACTCACAACTACCCATACTTGTCCACTGACACACTCCCAATGACCCCGAGTCCACCTGTGTCCAGCCAGACTCACACATTTTCCCATGTCGACTTGCGTCCTTGCACCCATCCGCACCCCCAGGCACCCACCTACATACACCTTCACACCTACCGACACGTGTGCCGTGTTCGCTGGTGCATGGCACATGGGCAAATGGTCCGCCCCAGCTCAGCAGAACAGATGGTGCACATCACCCCCAGCTCCGTGTTCAGTGATGTTATGTTAGTAGCTTGAAATTGGCCAAAGTGAGCATATTGGTACTGCAGAAATTGGCAAACCCTGTATTCACACCTCTGCCCTTCCACATGACTACGCCTTACATCTGCCCGTGTCCACACGTGTCCACCTTCGTTCTTACAAAGGTCTGCCTGTACCCTCATGCTTACCCAAAACCCACACGTATTTACCAGCACCCACATGTGTCTACCCTACACCCTCATACGTGTATGCCCTCATGTCACCCCAAACCCACACATCCACCAACACTTATGCATACACATTTCCACCACTCCCTGCATTCTTTAGATACTAAAACATATTCAGCCCCCCTGTTTGATACCCATGTACTTGTGCATCAACCTGCCTATGTAAGTATCTACTCTCCATCTGCTCATCCATACATTACTTACCACCCTCACTCTCTCTTTCTCTATCTCTCTCTGCACAACAGAGAAAGCTGGATGGTTAGAAAGACAAAGATACCTATGGGATTACGTGATTTGGTCTTCTAACAGCAGGGGCATACAGACCACAGGTGGGAACATGGCGTGGCCATGGGGGGCTGCAGTGGGATGGGGAGGGGAAGCCTGGAACATGAGATCTGTGGGGTCAGCTCTAAGAATCAAGAGACTTGAAGACAAACGTCAAGTTGTCCCCTTTCGCCATTCACCTGTTTTGTTTTGTTTTTTTTCCATCCTCAGGAGACGTGTTTTGGGCATCACCTCAGGCATCCATGAGCTAGGAGCCCTGCGCTGGGAGCTGGCCCTGTGCCTCCTGCTGGCATGGGTCATCTGCTACTTCTGCATCTGGAAGGGGGTCAAGACCACAGGCAAGGTGAGGTGTTCTGGCTCCTGGTAAGCTCTCTGTGGCCCCCAGAAGCCATGGGGACGCTCACAGTGTAAGAAGGAGGTAGTGTAAGGGAGAGGCAAGGTGAGAACAGGGGAAACAGTAGGAAGAGTTTAGCTCAGTACAAGGAAAGACTTTCTCTTTCAATATGACTGTAAAAAACCTGTTTACATAAGTAACATACAGATCAAAATAAGAAACACGGAAGTCCCCCTAATCACTGTACCAGCCAGCATGGTAGATTTGGATCTACTAATCCCCATTAATGTCTTGATATTGCTTTCTAGTTTCCTTTATAGGTGTGTTTGCGTGTATCTGTATCTATCATGTCTGTACATGACACAATTAGGATCATACACTTTTACAGCTCGCTTTTTGTAGTATGGTATGAACCAGCAAACAGAACTGTCTTTGAAGTGGTGAGTTTCCAATAATCAAAAGGGTTCAGGCCAAGAATGGACAACAGTGGCTTATTGTACATGTAGAGAGTTCAGATTTGAGCCATTATTTCCAACCCAGGGAATCTGAGGTTGATGATTCATGCTTTTTAAAGCCAGGAATAGACAGGATACTTACCGTTCTGATTAGCCTGTTCTGGGGGCAGCCTCCCCCTTCCCAGGATTGTTGTAATAATAATAAAACTAGTAACAGTGATAATAACACAGATATTGCTGTCACCTCCGGTAAGGAGCTAAGCTTGCTCAGGGAGCAGAGTGGACCCCTCAGAGTGTCTCCATATCCCAGAGGTCAGGCCACAGCTGCCCCTCCAGACTTAAGCCTGGAAAAGTAGTTTAAGTTTTGCCACAGGTCACTCTGCAGATCTGCTCCGCCTCTGTCACCAGGACCCACCCTCGCCAGGGGGCAAAGGGAGAACAGCCAGGATGAGGGATTCCAGGAGACCAGATTCTGGATTTTAAAATAGTCTTTGAACTATTATGGCTGGAAGCTCGTGCCCCTCCCCGTCCTTCCTCCCTCCTTGCCCTGCTGATGTGTATCTCATACTCTACCTGCCTCGAAGCCCGAGACCCGCTAAAATGTGTAAAGGAAGGTGTGGAGAGTTGCAGGTGCTCAGCCCCTCTCGGCGTCTCTAAGGAGGTGTCTGACGCTGAGCTGGGTGTCACTCTTGCTGCCTGAGGAGGGCTGACAGGAGGACGGCCATAGGCTCCCTGGCACCTCCTGGCGGCTGTGTCCCCAGCAGGGGTGACCTGAGCCTGTTTCCCTCCAGGTTGTTTATTTCACAGCCACGTTTCCCTACCTGATGCTGATCATCCTCTTGATCCGAGGCATCACCCTTCCTGGAGCCTATGAGGGCATCATCTATTACCTGAAGCCAGATTTGCTTCGCCTCAAGGACCCCCAGGTAGGAGCTGTGCTGGGGACCAGTTCCCCGCTGTCTCCCACCCAAAACCACAGCTGTACTTTTGAAAATCTCTGGTTGCTTTTCTCTTGGTATAAAGGCAATATATCTGGCGCCTGGGTGGCTCAGTCGTTAAGCGTCTGCCTTTGGCTCAGGTCACGATCCCAGGATCCTGGGATTGAGTCCTTCATTGGGCTCCCTGCTCTGTAGGGAGCCTGCTTCTCCCTCTTCCTCGGCTGCTCCCCCTGTTTGTGCTCTCTCTCTGTCAAATAAATAAAATCTTTAAAAAAAGAATAAAGGCAATGTATCCCCACTAGAAAACAATTAAAGATCTCTTGTAATCAGCTATATCTCTATGAGCATTTTAGTAGATTTCCTTCCAACTCTTTTTTTCTAGTTGGTGTGTGTGTGTGTCTGTGTTTTAACATAGTTGAGATAATTATATAGATATGTATCTTTTTTCATTTAAATTATATTGTAAGCATTTTCCATGTTATTAAATTCATTTGTAAATGTCATTTTAAACACTTGCATATAATATCCATTCAGTCACTCATTCACCCAAAATGTACTGAGGACCAGTTAAGGGCCAGGTAGTGCTCTAAGGACAGAGTGGGCAGTGCGCACGATAGACCAGGCTCCGTGTCCTCTGAGCACTCACACGCGGGGCAGGTGTCATCAATCTGCTCTTATTCTTGGACATTCAGGTCAGGCACTTTTTTTTTATGATCATATATATAGCTGCAATCGACACCTTGTGTTTAAATCTTGGACCACATCTCTGATTATTTTCTGACAATAGTCAGACTTGGAATCACTAAGTCCAAGAATATGTGCGTTTAAGTGTCTTGAAATGTCCTGGCTTCAGAGAAATATAGATTTTTCTCCACCAGTATTGGAACGTACCCTTTTTTTCTCCGGGGCCCATGAGAGATTCCATAATAATTCATTTTAACCTTTGATCTACAATAATTTGAGAGATCAAAATAGTATCATTTTATTGTTTTAATTAATTTATTTTTTACTACTGCGAGGTGGGACATTTCCACACAGATTTACTTTGCATTTTTATTTCCTCCTCTAGGACTTGTCTGAGCACATTCTTTGCCCCACCCCCCCTTCCCCAAGGAGTCTTAGGTTTTTTTCTTTATATTCTAATGAAGTGGCTCTTGGACCCAGTCTTGGCTGCCTGAGGCCCTCAGTGCTTTGGAGTGAGCCTGGAGCTCTCAGTTCTGCCCTGCCTTATCTGGGCACTGCCCCTCCACCCAAGAAATCCAAGTATGTGGGGTCTCCTGAGTGCCCCCAGAGCCACATTTAAATGGGCCTGCCTGTGAAGTGACATGTGAGTGGAGGGTGGCGAGTGAGTGACTCCTGAGGGCACACCCAGGGGCCAGCAGGGTCTGAGGGGCCACGGCCAGCTGCCCCACCCCCACCCCCTGCCACTTTCTTGGGGTCTCATGTAGGTGTGGATGGACGCGGGCACCCAGATCTTCTTCTCCTTCGCCATCTGCCAGGGGTGCCTGACCGCCCTGGGCAGCTACAACAAGTACCACAACAACTGCTACAGGTGATCGGCGGAATGGGGTGCCGGGGACCCTGGGGTGGCGGGGCTGGTCTTCCTGGAGTGTCGCCAGGGAATCGAAGCTTCAGTTCCCAGACTGAATTTCTTTCTTCCCTCTTTTTCTCCCTCCCCACCTTCCAATGATCCTCGATCTTGCTCCCTCCCCCATTCTCTCTTCCATCCCTCTCCTCCCGAATCTTTCTTTCGCTTCCCTTTTCCCTCCCCGCTCCCCAATGACTGACTTTGGATCTCTCCTCCCCTGAGGGATTTCTTCCTCTCTTTTCCCTTGGCTCCTCCGCCTCCCCGCCCCCACAGGGACTGCATCGCCCTCTGCTTCCTCAACAGTGCCACCAGCTTCGCAGCCGGGTTCGTGGTCTTCTCCATCCTGGGCTTCATGGCCCAGGAGCAGGGGTTGCCCATCTCCGAAGTGGCCGAGTCCGGTAGGTACCACTTTGCTGTCTGGGCCCTGATGGGAGAACACAGATCCCTCCACCAGGGTCCCAGGAAGGAGTCCCAGGAGCTGGCTGATGGGAAACTTTTTAGCCTCTGTGGGCCCTGCTTGGCACAGAGGAGGGCCTCCTGAACCATGGGTGGTGGGGAGGGAGCGGGGACTGAGGGTAGGTGGGCAGACCCACAGCTGCAAGCACGAATGGATGCACAAACCAGCTCCCCAGAACCAGAAGAGCCAAGTGATGGATGAAACTACCCTCCCTTCTTGCACCACTCCTCCACACACACACTCACACTCTCTCTCACACACACACTCATGCACACTCACACAGTGCCTTGGGAGAAGGCTCTTTCCTGAGGGCAGTGAGAGCAGGAGGGAACTCTCCTGACAGTGCCTTGTGCCTGGCAGGTCCTGGTCTGGCCTTCATCGCCTTCCCCAAGGCTGTGACAATGATGCCCTTATCGCAGCTGTGGTCCTGTCTTTTCTTCATCATGCTCATCTTCCTAGGGCTGGACAGCCAGGTTTGTCACCCGCCCACCCCACTGCACCCCTCCCTGCCCTGGCGACCCTCTTGCCAGCTTCTGCGTTTCTGGCCATTACCTTCCCTCCATCTCCTTTCCCACTGACCATACATTCCAGATCCCCCTCCGCTTTCGGGGCTTGTCCTTGCAGTTGATTGGGTGACCCCTCGTCTCAAGACCAACCTATTCTGTGAGGGGGCCACCTGCCTTTTCCCCCCAGGCCTGACCCTTCCCCATACAGGGACACCCCCCTCCCAGATGGCCCTCCAGCCTCCTTCCAGCATTCAGCTCAAGCTGCTCAGCCCTGCCCCCCAGCCTTGGGGACAGAACATGTCTCCCCCTCCAGCCCCCATGCTGGAACCCTCTGTTGTAGAGATGCGGCCAGGGCAGGGCTGGCCACCCCACGTCTGCCCTTGACCCCTGTGCTCCTGTGCGTCAGCATGGGTGAGTGGGGTGAGAGGCTGCCAGGGCAAAGGGCAAGCTGCACCTCTCACCCCAGCTCCCCTCCTGCCCGCAGTTTGTCTGTGTGGAGTGCCTGGTGACAGCCTCCGTGGACATGTTCCCCAGTCAGCTCCGGAAGAGTGGGCGGCGAGAGCTCCTCATCCTGGCCATTGCAGTCGTGTGCTATCTGATCGGGCTCTTCCTGGTTACGGAGGTGAGCAGAGGTGTGTGCCCCCACCCAGGTGAGGGAGCCAGGGGGCACACCTTCCTCATCGGCTCCTTGGTGGTGTTGACACAGGCTCTGCCCTCATCACAGCGAGGTTGTAGGGACCACACAGTAGAACCTTACCTGTGTTCAGTTAGCTCTTTTGGTGTCAGGTGACAGAAACCAAGTGCTAGCCAGCTTGAGTGGAAAAGGGAGTTTTTTGGGGCTAGGAAACTGAAAAGTCTAGAGATAATTGGTTTCAGGTATGGTTGGATCCAGCTGCTCTCCTGACATGGTCAGGAATGCCATTCTCAGCTAGATTGCCCTCCTGATAGTAAAGAACGCTGGTACAGCTTCAGGCTGACCTGCCGCCACCCCTCCAACCCCCAAGGAAAGAGAGGGACTGTCTCCCAAGAACACGGTGAGTGTCCAGCGCTGGCTCTGCTTCCAGCCTGGAGCAGGGAGAGGAGAACACTCAGAGTGAGGTGGTGCCAGGTTCTACGTTACGAGATAGGATGCTGGGCAGAAGAAACAGTGTATGTCCCACGGTTGCCAAGGTCTTTGAAGCTGTCGGAAGTTGTTGTCCTGAGGTCAGATGAAGGGCCTGGGGGCAGGGGTAGGCAAGGCCAACTCCCTTTAGTTGCAAGGAGTGACTTCCCACGGGCTGGGCAGGATGGGGGCCCAGCTGGGTGTTTGCACTCTCGCTGCGGAGCGTGTCCCCTGCGCACCCTGGCCAAGGCCCTGCCTAGCTCCACTGACTTCTCCGCAGGGCGGGATGTATATCTTCCAGCTGTTTGATTATTACGCTTCCAGTGGCATATGCCTGCTCTTCCTGGCCATGTTTGAAGTGCTCTGCATCAGCTGGGTGTACGGTAAGTGGAGGGAGGAGAGGGAGGAGGAGCCTCTGCCCCGCCCTCCCCAGAAGGCCGTGATCTGCCCAGGAGGAGAGATGGGCTGTGCCGGCCCTCTGGTTTCTATAGGTCTTTGTATTGCTGCCCTGGGACGTTCATCATCCATCGCTGAGAACCCGGGCATTTCTCATTATCGCAGATAGAGCTGGGTTAAGGTAGTTTCTACAAAACTGATTTCCCGCAATAGTGAGAGGAATTAGAAACAACAGGGAACGGTTTTCTTGATACAGAAGCTGCCGGAAGCCCTTTGCCAGTGGGAATCCTAGCCAGGGCCACTTTGTCTGAGCATCCCCACATCCCCACATTCCCTTTCTAGGTTATCACCCAGACTTTGCTTGAATACTTCCCTGAACAGGAAACTCATTCCCCTGTTTTTGAGGTAGTTTTTCTTGTGGCTGTTATGCATTCCTTTCTTCTGCGGAAGTGAATTCTGCCTTCCTTTGACTTCCACCACCAGCCCCCCTCAGTGCTGGGGTGACTAGCCAGTCCTGATGACAGTAGGGGGGGATCCTTTATGCATTGAGTCAATGCACTGCTGAATGCCAAGCAACCTGCTGACTGTGGCATACATAATCTCGCAGCTCACACAGCAGCCCTTTGCAGGGGGAGGCGAGGCTCAGAGAGGTAGGTCTCTTGCCTGAGCTCACACAGCTAGTACGTGGAGGAAGCATCGTCATACCCAGGACCCTCGGGCTCCACCGCACCAAGTTGGGGGAACGCATTGTCAATGTAACAAGGCTCGGGGCAGAGAGGATGGGGGTGCCATTGTAGTGTGCATGAGTAGGAAAGCCGCGAGTAGGAAGGTTTTTATTTTGCTACCCTAAGCCTTCCTGTCTGGTGTCCTCCCTCTCCCTGGACATGTCTCCTCTCTTCTCACCTCAAGCATCTGATGTCTTTCTGATTTTCCTCTGCTGCTTCTCAGAACTTGCTCCCAAAGAGGATCTGATAAACTCCATCACAGTGAGTTCTAAAGAGCTGAGGAACTGTAATAGTTTACACCCTCCCAGCAGTATCTGGTTGTTAGCTGGGGGAGAAATTTGCAAGTCAAAGGAATGACTCCCTAATGGGGGCATTTCCTGCACACTGGTGATCAGTGGGAAGTTATTTCTTTGCTGAGGAAGGGCCAGAGAGGCCCTCCAAGGGTCTTTCCCGATCGGTAGCTCTCTCCTCCTTAGAGGACTGGGTGGGCCTGGATCTGGAGCAAACAAGGACAGTAAACAAAACCAGTCAGTGTTTCTACAAACACAGATCAAGCCTCTTGCCGTGCTTTCCTGACAATGCAGAGTGGTTCCTCCAGAGTCTAGACTGTTGTTCCCTTCCCAGTGGCTTTCTGGCCCTATGTGAGTTTAGCGTTTTAAGCTAGCACAGTGGGACCCTTGCTGTTTTGCTGTTTTGACTTGAGACCGAATTCATCTCTGCGGCATAGATAAATGAGCATTTGCTAGCCATTGTGCCATTTTAGGCCCACACCCTCCTCTGTGGTTAGGATTTAGGGTCTTCATCCCTAGACAAGGGGACGAAGGATTGCACCGAGAAGTTGGGTGACTCTCTCCAGGGCTCCCAGCTTTTTGGTGGCAGTCCCTTCTCCCTCCTCGCTCCCTGCCTTGTGGCTGGGGTGCCAGGGACCCATCTCATTCACGTGCCTTGATCCAGTTTCCCCTCACAGGGTGGGGGGAAGAGGGCAAAGCCAGGTGAGTCCTCCCCAAATACCCACAAGCTCTCTCCTTCCTCCTGTTCTCGCATTTTTCTCCCACCGCACCTGGGCAGGGGCAGATCGTTTCTATGACAACGTTGAGGACATGATTGGCTACAGGCCATGGCCCTTGGTGAAGATCTCCTGGCTCTTTCTGACCCCTGGACTTTGCCTGGTATGTGCCCACCCAGCTACCCTCCTGCCTCCAGAAGACTCGGGGACGGGGAACAGGATGCCCGAGTTCTGGGGCTGCTCCCTGCCTATCCAGTTACCTGGGGAGGCTGGTCCATTTCCCTTTCTAGGTTGGTTCTCCTGCCCTTCCTTTCGGGGGCTGTCTCCTTCCGCTGCCTCATTCCAGTTCCTGCTCCATTCCTTTCTTTCAGCACCTCCATCTGCTGCCCGACTTCCCAGTTAGTGGTCTCTTTCTGTCTGCCTGCTGAGGGCTCCTCCACCTTCCCTCCTTTCTTCAGAGCTCCTCCTGTCTCAGTCCTTGGGGGGGGGGGGGGGCATGCGTTGGCCCAGGGTTTGTAATGGCTTTTACTAGTCTACCTCAGTGATGCACCACAGTGCATTAACTTGTCCTCTGTCCCTGGATATTGAAGCAGGTGAAGAGAAGATTTCAAGGGCTCTCTGTCTCATCTGCATCCACCTCTCCCTCCTTCCAGGCCACCTTCCTCTTCTCCTTGAGCAAGTACACACCTCTCAAATACAACAACATCTACGTGTACCCTCCCTGGGGCTACTCCATCGGCTGGTTCTTGGCTCTCTCTTCCATGGTCTGCGTCCCACTCTTTATCATCATCACCCTTCTGAAGACCCAGGGTTCCTTCAAGAAGGTAGGGGCCAGAGCAAGTGATGCATGAAAGGGGGTTGCTGAGAGAGGTTGTAGGCAGGACACCATGGGTGGAGCCCAGCTCTGAGCGTGGGGCAACCCTTCGGTCTCATGGAATCTTTGAAGACTGGTCCAATGGTTTCATTTTCAGAAATCTTAAAAAGTCCTGGAGTCCTAGACCTTCAGAATCGGACTTCCAGCAGATCATGTGGGCAGGTTGACCAAGGGTAAACTGTCAGAGACTTAAGGAGGAAACTGAGTCACAACAAGAACTTAAAGGCACCCAAACACAGAGATTTAGAGAGCACAAATTCCTTGCTCCCAGGAAACTAATAACCAGCTATCATGGTTCATTTCATACACAAGCTCCTGGCTTCTTATCTTAATTCTGGGGAGCCACATGCAGAGGCTCCCTGTTTAGAATTTAAGACACGCCTTCCTGGAAGGGGATAGAACATGTCCTACGAAGACATTACACTTGTAAAAATCTAACAGGCCTATAAGTTACAGAAAAACCCAACCTGCAATAAGCAAATAGGCTTATTTTCTTTTTACATCGAGAAGGACCAGAGATGGATGCTGTTGGCATTTGGTTCAGCTGCTTAAAGAGGTCACTAGGGACCAAACTCTTCCTATATTTCTGCACCTCTGTCTGAGCATGTCTTCATCATCATGCTCACCACCTCATGGTCACAAGAAGGTTGTTGTGATTCCAGTCATCACATCTGCATTCAAGGCAAGAAGCAGGGGGAGGAGATGGTACCAATACCAGTAATAATAGTAGTACTACTACTCATATAATATAATAGGGACTTATTGATCACATTATAATAGTAATAGTAGGAAGAACCAAAATAAGCACTTATTGATCAACTTACCTTTGCCAGGCACTGTTCTCTGAGCTGTGTACTATTATTATCTTCGTTGTACAGATAGGGCACAGAGGGGTTAAATGGGTTGCCTACAATTGCACAGGTAGTTAGTAAGAGAGCAAGGACGGGAACCTGGCCAGTTCCTGGTCCTAGTCACCATAGTATTGTCTCTTCTCTCTTCTCAAAATATTTATTCCCGTATTCACTCAGATTCTACCGACCACCCCCATGTGCCTGGCCCTGACCTGGGCCCTGGGGTTACAAACAGGATGGAACATCTGTGCCTTTCTCACCAGTGGCACCCATTTGTTCCCTCTTGTCTCCACAGCGCCTGCGACAGCTCACCACCCCTGACCCCAGCCTGCCACAGCCCAAGAAACACCTGGATGGTGGTACCAGCCAGGATGGCGGGCCTTCTCCAGCAAGGGAGGGGCTAATAGTTGGGGAGAAGGAGACCCACTTGTAGGATGTGGGCAGCAGCCGGGTGGCTATGGGGCCAGGAACCTCTGTCAGGGCCACCACAGTGGACAGCCTTCGCCTCTGTCCCTCACCGCTGTCTGGCTGGGAACCTCTGTGATGTCCGTGGGCGCCCCCAGCCAGAGGCCAGGCCGCTCTCTCTCCTCAGCTGGGGCAGCTCCTTCTGGAGGGCGAGAGGCGGTCCCGCTGCAACACGCCATCCTGTTGGAACATACCTTCTTATTTATAAAGGAGGGTGGTCTTTTTTGAGTCCACCATCTGATTCTAACACATTACGCTGTGTGGGAGCTCCCACTGTAGGGGTGTTCCAGCTTCCTGTATTTGCGCGTTGGGAGGGTAGCGCTGACGGGAATACGTATCACACTTTGACTTGGAGAGCCTGATGGAACGCAACGTGTTGGAAGTGACAACTGAACACGCCACATTGGATTCTGGCATTCCATTAGAGGGGGTCCTTCCCTAGGCTTGGTGTTCTGGAGTCCATGGGGAAGGAATTAGAGAAACAAAAAGCCTTCACAAGCCATCATGGTCTTGAGTTTTCCTGGAGGCCTCTCAAGGTGTCCCTGGTTCCACACTCCTCCTGCAATATGTGTCCTCAACTCACAGAGCATTGGAATGGAAGGAACTTAGAGATGATCCCTAGACTGTTCTGTGCTTTCCTGTGCCTGAGGCAGACATTGCTAATTGATTACGGAGTCTTTCCCACCTCACAGTCCTTCCAAATACAGTGCTCCAGGAAGCTCCATTTGCCACCCTGCTTTTGTCCAGCCTCCTGACTTCATGGGTGAGGAAACTGAGGACCAAAGAGAAAGTGACTTTCTCACGTTCACATAGCTATGCCTAAAACCTGGTTTCCTTTTTTCAGGCCAGGGTTCTTCCCATGAAACCCTCCTGCCTTAGTTAACAAGCATGTATGGATCGCCTGCTACCCTGTGCTAGTCTTCTCTGCCTCGCCCTGTTCCTGTTTAGTCTGCTGTCTTGGGGTGGGAGGGAGAGGGTCTCCTCTGTAGAGTGCTGAGCAGCTTTCCCCACTTTGGCATCCCTACCTTGGCATTTCCTCTGCCAGCCCATACTCCTCTGACCAGATTTCCTTCTGGACCCTTTCGTTCTTGCCATTTTCCATCTCCTCTGCCTCCGGAGATTCCTCGGAGTGTGTGAAAGCCCGCTGGTCTCCCGCAGAGAGGGGGGCATTGCGTGTGGGATGCTCTCCTCTCCCCAGGTCGCCATAAAATGATGCCAGGTCCTCCCAAAGGCAAAAGAGGAGAAGGAGTAGGGGTGGGGGAGGGCCACTTCGGGACGGTGGCCTGGGGCAGGACGTGGGAGCTGGAAGAAGGGAAGCTGCCCGTATACACCTGTATATCTATAGATAGCCATCTGCAGTGATGCATGGATAGATGTCACCCAGAGTCACTGCCCAGTAGCCAGAGTAAAAATCTATGGTCCAGCCAGGGTGAGTTCCACCCTCAGAGCACCCAGCATCCTTCCCCGTGATCTGTCAGGGCTTCTCTGCTGGGCACAACCAGACATCCAGACCCCTGGGTTCTGCCTCCCTCAGACTGCTCTGCACATCTGTGCTCGCTTTGGTAGGACTAGCTAGTGGGTGGAAAAGGAGGTCCAGGAGAAAGGGATAGAGAAACTGCTTCCGCCAGGTTGACCCTGGGGGACCTGTGGCGCAGGTGTGCTGCTTTCTGCTGCCGCCTGGTGGCAGATGGGAGCAGAGCCGCCTTCCCCGGCCCGGCCTCAGCCTCTGGGGCTCTCACCCCTGCCCTCGCTGACTGGCTGGCTGAGCATTTCTTTCCTGTGCAAGCTCACGCCCTCTGGAAACGAAATACTTCCTATATCCACCCGTGGCCTCAGCAGGGCTCCCCAGTACGGTTGGCTTGTTTTGGGGGAGCCCAGCTGCAAGGGCATGGGGACTAAGGTCAGCCAGGCTCCTCAGCTCCCTGCCTCCTCCCCAGAGCGTGCTGTGCTTTTGAGCCTGGGCCCTTTCAGCCTGGACTGTGACGTTGTCTGTTGTAGGCGGTTGCCCTGTTCTGCACACTGAGGGGACACCAGCTCTCCCCAGCTCACTGGGCCCTGAGCCTCAGTCTTGATCTCTGAAGTTGCAGACACCATTGCCCTCCCCACATAAACTCACCAGGACTCTCAGCTGCTCCAGATCCCTTGGCTTTATGCTCACAGCCTGTCCAGCGGTGGGGAGGTGGGGCAGGGGGGGCTAAGGGGGCGGGTAGGGGCTGGGGGGCCTCTTCTGGAGGCAGTGTGTCTACAACCCTTCCTCTCTGACTGCCTTTTCCATCCTGGCACCCAGTATAGAGCCTCTGTGGTCCATGAGGGGACCAGAGAGGGAGCTGGGTGGGGCGGGTTGGGGCCGGAGGGAACATCGAGTTCCCTGAAAGGGACTTCAGGGAAACCACTCATTGGGCCCACATAATGGGCAATGAGCAACAATTTGACTCTTTAAAGGCCCAGAGCACTACTTCAGGTGTGTGTGTGTGTGTGTGTGTGCACGCGCACATGCATGCACATGTATGCGTAAAGAGCATAGCTATGTCTATATGGGTTATAGGGTTATAACTTGGGGTCTGTTTTCATCTCATCGAAGCTGTTTAAGTTTTAAACTGGTGGCCTGATCTGGCAACCACGATTCATTTGGCCACTATGATATTTAAAGAACAACTTTTTTCAAGGTGGATGCCTCCAGTCACTCTCCAGTTTGCCGCAGACCCCCTCCCCCGGTCCCTATTACACAGACCTGACCTTTTCACACATTCATGCCTGAATGCATTTGCTTCATAACTGGTGCCCAAGCGGAAGAACGGAGAACTCTGTCCAAGGGAGGGCACCGGAACCCTTGCTGGAGCAGGACGGGGACCCAAACGCAAATGGTCTCAGGAGTCCCGGCGCCTCGGTGGTTCCTGGCTTGTTCATGAACTTCCCACTCTGTAGACCCTCTGAGGCAATTTGTTAATCCTGGGTCAGCTCCCCCTCCCACGGGCTCTTCCTTTGCCCAAAGAAGGGTGGTGGCTAAGTTTAATTGCGAAGCTAGATGTAAAGTGTCAGAGCGCAGCAACCCCCATGGCGGAGTGGACTCCAAAGCCAGAAAGAACGTGGCTCCGTTTTCTGAAGTTTGGGATCTCTTCTGCCTCCCAACCCCGCCAGTGCATCCAGATGTGTTTAGAAATCATCCTCCCCCTTCCTTTATCTAAGGCAAAAGCATTTTTATCTGACTGGCACTCCTCCACATTGTAAGGCTAAGACTGCTCTTGCTTTTCCCTCCCCACTCTCAGGCTGGGCTTCTGGGGAGCCCACCCTCCAAAGCTGGGGTTTGCTGTCCCCAGCTGTTCACTTTAGCTTCCCTGTATGTCCCCCTTGCTTGGCTGGGCCTTGGTGCCAGCCTGGGCTTGGCCTCTCCCCCTTCCCATCTTCCCTGAGAGTCCAGGATGCTGCCCTGTGCAAGAGCCGAGGAGTGGGCTCAGGCATGCTCAGCCCCCTCCACCCCATCCTCCTGAGCTGGGAGAGCTCTGGGAGCTGAGGAGGGCCTCGAACTCTGCTGACACTGGAGCCTCTGACTTCCAGTCTGCAGGCTGTGGTCGTGTGTGTTAGGCCAGAAGGTGTCTGACCAGGGGAAACTGCTCCCCTATCTAGCCTGGCTTCCGCCTTTTACAGCTTCTCCACCCGACTCCATGCAGAGCCCCAGTAGAAGGTAGCTGGCTCTGGTTTGCGGCCTCCAGGAATTGTCTGGGCTCTACATCCAGCTCGCCTCCCAGACCCACCCTTCAGGTGCAGGCCACCAGTTGGGTCTCTTGTCTTTGCTGTCACTGTTGACAGGAAGCAGAGCTGTACCCTTCTGTTCCATCCCGGTGCTGCCCAGGGCCTTAGCTCAGAACTCCCCTCCCTCAACTCAGTCAGAGAGAGAGAGAAAGAATGTAAGCTCCCTAGCCTATCGGCCTTGTGAGCTTTTAGCTGTGGAGGGGAGGGGACAGGGTTATGGGAATAGGGTTTGAGTCAGGAAAAGGAAGCAGAATCAGATGGTGGGATTGGGCGGGGGGATGGAAGGGGGAAGAGGGGGTGGGGGGCAGAGGAACATAAACTACAAGCCCTGGAGGAGAGCTGTGTGAGGTTTTGGAGGAAGGAGCCAAGACTGGGGTTTGTGGGGAGATATAATCACAAGGTAAAAAAAAAATAATAATCACAAGGCTTGAGCTCAGCTCACTGGGAAAGCCAGCACCTTGTCTTAAAATAGCCAAGGGCACAGAAGAGCTCTCTGGATAAACTTTTCAGTCCACCTCTGATCTCCTTCTCCCCTAAGGGCCCTGGTAGCCAGCATCCAAAATGGCCGTCAGTGATCCCCACCTCCTGACACCCACGTCCTTGATCCACAGTGTATGTGATGGAATGGCGGCAAGTGACTTCTGCCTTGACCTCTTGGATCATTCACTCTGGGGGAAGCCAGTCGCCATGCCATGTGGACACTCCAGCACCCCAGTAGAGAGGCCCATGTGGACAGAGCTAAGGCCTCCAGCCGAGGGCCCTCGCTGACATGTCAGCCACGTGAATGAGCCACCGTGGAAGTGGATCCTTCAGATGACCGCAGGCCTGACTGACATTGACTGTAACCTCATGAGGGCCCTGAGCCAGGAAGGTCCAGCCAGGGGGGGCCTGAATTTGGAGTAGTTTGTTACACACCAGCAGGTAACCAATATGGGCCTTTGGCTTCCCAGATACCAGAATTCCCCTTTGAGGGTCAGGTGTGGCCCCTCATCAGAGGCGACCCTCAGCACTCAGCGGAAGAGGAGGCCTCGCTGGTATTCCTCCTGTCTGAGCCTTTTGCCTTTCTCCCACATCCTCACGACCTCTGGCCCTCCAAAGCCCTCCCGGGACCCTGGGCCTGCCTGCCACCCTGGTCCTCATGTGCCCGCTTCCCGTTGGCTCACTGCACGTGGCTTCCCTTCAGGTTTAGTTGCTCAGGAAAGTGACATGGGCTGATCGGGTCCAACAGGGAGGAAAAGCTTGTTAACCACCTGTCGGTACAGAGAGGCCAGGAGGACAGCAGAGGGCTGCCGAGGGCCAGGCCCTGTGGTCACTTGGGGCTGAGATGGGTTGGGGCCCTCGGCCCTGGCGTCCTGCATTCCAGCGCTCTCCGTTTCTAGTGTGACCACCAGCCTGGGCAGGTTGCTTGCTCATGTGGTCTGAGGAGGTGAGCGCAGGTGGTGCCACAGACAGTGAGGAGAGCTCTCTCTCTGCCAAGGCCAAGGCTGAGCCCTCCACGGCCTGGTCGCTCTGCAGGGTGAGCGCCCGACCCCACTGACGGAACAAGAATCCAGCCCAAACTCCTGACGCGATCACGTTCTGAGGCTCTCTTGGCCACACGGCCTCACTGACCTGCTGAGAGCAACTACAGTGGAGGCCAAGGGTCTGGCCCTGACACCAGGACTCCCACGGTCCACATCAGCGGTGTGGCTAGGGCCAGTGGCAAACCTCCCCAGCAAGACTCAGTGCCCTCAGCCCCACTCCGCTCCCATGGGGGTACATGAAGGTAGCCTGCACCCACCCAGCCCGTCCTCAGTAAGCGCAGTTGGAATGGGGTCTGGTGATGAATGCGCGGTCCCCCTGAGAGGGGCTATAAGGCTATGACTTTCCATCTGTTCCAAGGTTGCTGGTTTTTTTTAAATCAAGACTTCCAACTTGGTGGTAGGACCTTTGTTTTCTATAGGAGTGATTGAAGCATGACTTTTTGTGCAAATTAGAATGCTAAATTATTTCTTCAGAGCAAGAAAGTCTACCTTTCTTTCCACGATGCACAATTATATAGCCTTTATAGTTTTCAAGGAATAAAAAAAAAGTGTTGAATTCCATCGATTGCTTTTCTTTTTTCTTTTTTTTTTTTTTAAAGATTTTATTTATTTATTTGACAGACAGAGACACAGTGAGAGAGGGAACACAAGCAGGGGGAGTGGGAGAGAAAGAAGCAGGCTTCCCGCGGAGCAGGGAGCCTGATATGGGGCTTGATCCCAGGACCCTGGGATCATGACCTGAACTGAAGGCAGACGCTTAACGACTGAGCCACCCAGGTGCCCCATCGATTGCTTTTCTTGCATCGATCGAAATGATCATATCGTTTTTCTCCTTTAATCTGTTAATGTGGTGAATTATATTAATGGATTTTTTTTCCTAATATTTAACCATCTTTAATTCCTGGGACCAATCTAAGTCGGTGGTGGTTTATCATAGTCTTTGTTATTCACCGCCAGATTCAGTGTGTGTTAATATTTGCTTAGAATTGTTATATTTATGCTCAGGAGCAAGAGTGGCTTCTAGTTTCCCTTTCTCATATCGCCTTGTCTGGTTCAGCTTTTATTTTTAAGATGACTTTAGCCTCGTGAAAAGCAGTTTGGGAATGTTCTTTCTTTTCGCCCTCTCTGAAGAAGTTAAGAAAAGATTGGTAGAATCATTTGGCCTGGTTTTGTGTAGTAGTTTCTGTGGAGGGAGGTGGCAGAGAGATTTTTTTTTTTTTTAAGATTTTATTTATTCATTTGAGACACAGAGATACAGAGAGAGAGAGAATGAGCAGGGGAAGAGGCAGAGGGAGAGGGAGAGGGAGAAGCAGGCTCCCCGCAGAGCCGGGAGCCCGATGTGGGGTTTGTTCCCAGGACCCTGGGATCATGACCTGAGCTGAAGGCAGACGCTTAACAACTGAGCCACCCAAGCACCCCTCAAAGAGATTTTTAATACATGTTCGAATTTCTTTAATGACAATTTATTTCAAATTTCCCATTTATACTTGAGTGAGTTTGATAAGGTATTTTTCTAAATAGTATTCATCTTACGTGATGATTTTTCAAACGTATTGTTCTAAGGTGTGTAGTTTATTTATAGTGGATTTGTAGTATTCTCTCTGTTTATAAAAAACATTTCTGCAGTATTGGTAACTATGTGCCCCTTGTTGCCTCAACTTAATTTATCTGTGCTGAATCTCATTTTTGTGATCAGTCGAATTGGAAGTTTGTCAATTTGATTAGTCATTTCTTAGAACTAACTTCTGGTTCCGTTAATCCTTTCTGTTGTGTATGTCTTTTCTGTTTCACTGTTTCTGCTTTTGTCTTTATTATTTCCTTTCTCCTACTGCCTGTAGGATGATTCTGTTCTTTCTGAGGCTTTAATTTAACTTCTTAACGGAAACAGTCC